ATATATATATATATATATATATATATATATATATATGACTAAAATAATAATATTAATTTATATTTAGGAGTCAACATGACAATAAGTAGTTAAATTCAATGACTTAATTGGTATTTTAAAAACTTATTTAACAACTTTTTAATTTTAGGGATCAAATTGACAATGAATTCCTTTGACTCATTTATAAGCTAATTTGATCAAAATAAGTTTATTTGATACACAAGTTTATTTTAGAGACTTATAGCTTATTCTTATAAGATAAGTTAATTGAAGTAGCTTAAGAACTCTTATTTTTTTTCTTTATTTATCTTCACTAGTTTACTTAAAAAAAAACTATCATTTTTAATTTATAAATCACTTTAACAACATGCTTTTATCTCACCCTCGTTATTAAATAAATGAACATGTCTTTTAATATTAATTAGTCAATTAGTTTAACAACTATTTTAATCAATCAGTTCAATTAATTAAATTATAAACTTTTAACTTTTCAACTCATAACTTGTAAACTTTCGGTTAATTTATAAACTAATTTTACCAACATATCTTTAGTAAGACATTTGGGAAATTTATAAGCTTCTTTGAACAATTTATAATCTAATTTAATCAAAATAAATTTATTTGATACATTTATTTTTGTAAATTAATTGAAATAGCTTATAACTAATAAGATCATAATTATTTTTCTCGTTAATTTATTTATTTAGTTTTTAAAATTATTCTTTCACTCATCATTAAATAAGTGTATTGTTTTATATTAATCAGCTAGTTTATTATTAACTAAATCCTTCCAATTTAATTAGTTAGATTAGTTATAAGCATCTAGTTTTTCAACTCCAAACTTATAATCTAATTTTACTAAGCACTTTCCGAGTCTTCAAAATTGATAGACTAAAACGGATGTTTACTTGATTAAAAATACATATTAATATAAAATAATCATAATATAATAATCAATAATCAAATTAAATTAAATAATAACATAAAATTTTATTATGGGTGCATTCTAGTAATACAACTAGATTATATTGAATGGAATTTTCAGCTGTGGTTTATTTATAATTAAGTTGGTTAATTTAACCTAAAAAATTTCTTAGGATTTATTTTAACCTAAAAATCACTGTCCACGTGAAATGTTTAAAAACTTTCAAAGTTAACCCCCTCCTCTCCTTCAAAGGCACAGCTAGTAATGGTAAAAGGGATATTTATAAGAAATTATTAAAATATGTAAAGTGCGTCAGCTGTAAAAAATTTGTTAAAAAATTTAAATACGATAGATAAAAAAAATCTAAAATTTAATTCTTGAATAGTGTTAATTATGTCTAAATACTAAAATTATCCAAAACCGAGTACTTGTGTAAAGACGGTACCTAGACTAAACCGAGAAAAAATAAGTCTTAGGACCATTTCAACAAGAGGATAGCATAAACACACTAATTAAGCGTTCACCCCAAGAAAATAAATACATATTGCGATAAACTCTCATCGTACAACTAACATACTAAGTGTGAAATTAGATTTATACTTTTTAAGTAAAATCTTACGTGGTGTAAAAAAAAAGAGCAAAGTCTTACGTGTGGGTTATGTGAATCATAAATATGTGGTGTAATGATAAATTTTATATTTACATATATATATATATAT